GTCTCAAAAACAAAATGAAAAATCAAAAATATTTGTACAGATGACGGAAAGGTGCTTAAAATAATTGATTTTTTTTCTTTCACAGTGCTGGAATTGAACCCAAACCGAAGACATGCTAGGCAAGCACCTTACCACTGAGCTAAATTCCCAACCCCAGATGATCACTTCAAACGTAATTCAAAAGTGGTTTCTTTTTTTCAAGTTTTTTTATGCGTATGAGTATAGAGCCTGCATGGTTGTTAGTGTACCTGTGTCATGCAAAGCCCACAGAGGTTAGAAGAGGGAATCAGATCCCCTGGAATTGGAGTTACAGGTGGTTGTTGGCTGCTAGGTAGGCGCTGGGAACCTAACCTAGGTCCTCTGCAAGAGCAGACAGTACTTTTAACCACTGAGCAATCTCTCCAGCCCCTCAAAGTGGTTTCTTATACAATAGCTCAATCTTCACAACACTGGGACATAAGGAATGTATTCAAATTTTACATGTGATGAAGTAGGTAAAGTTACCAGTTCAAGAACATTCAGCTGAAAAAAGGCAGATCGAGGGCTCTAAATTCTTACTTGTCCCACTAGGTCAACCTATCCTCCTGGGAGTTGGAAGATAACCACAGCAAAAAAAATCCATCAAAATCTACTCAATCTCAACACACTAACTTTCAAAGTAAATTCCATACACTAGCTCTCCTCCCAGTGTGACCTGCAGATAGCTGGTGTAGGTCACATAGAGCAACCCAGAGGGAGATGAACAGCTTGAAGTAGAATGTGGATCCGCCCCATCATAAAAGACACTGCTTGGGTCAGTGAGATGGCTCAGTGGGTAAGGGAACTTGTTACCAAGCCTGACAGCCTAAGTTCAATCCCCAGAACCCACATGGTGGAAGGAGAGAACCAACTCCCACAAGTTCTCCTGTGACCTCCACACCCACTACGGCACATGTACACATATACACACAAATAAATAAAGGTAAAAAAATTTTTTTTGGTCTTTTTGAAAGAGTCTCCCTGTAGCCCCAGCTAGCCTGGAACTAACTAAATAGACCTGGCTGGCCTTGAACACACCCGCCTCTGCCTCCCAAGTGCTGGCATTAAGGGCATACACCCACCCCACCCAGCTAAAAAAATTTTTTCAAGAGCTTTTTTTCCAGTAGTAGTAATAATAACAGCTTCAGCAGTTGCCTAACAGTATGACGTTGATGGAACAGCTCAGAGAAGCACTGTTCTCAGAATTCAGATAGTGAAAACCGAAGACATAAAAGGCAAGTCGAGCCATCTGCTGAGGTAACTCACCCTAAGAAGTGCTTTCTGAATGTGTTTTCAGAGAAATTTTGGAAGACGTAAGTCCATATGATGTACATGTGTGTATATCCATGTTCTCATGTGTGGGAGCGTATATGTGTGGGGTATGTGCGCGTGTGTGTGTGCGTGCATGCGTGCATGTGTGTGTGTGTGTGTGTGTGTGTGTGTGTGTGTGTGACCCAATCAGCTGCTGGCCTGAAGAGCTAAGCCTGAGGATTCCCAAAATGGAAACCAGTGGATCACATGTATGATTGGTTCTGGAAGATCCTGCTGTGGACTGCATGTTTGTGACCCCTAAAAACACTTCTATGTTGAAGTCTAAATTTCCCATGTGTTAATGGGGATATGTATTTGGTGATTAGGTCATTATGGTGGATCCCTTGAAAAATGGATTACTGCCCATAGGAGGAGAATGTTTGCTCTCTTTCTCTATTCTCTGACAAGTGAAGATATAAAAGCATGCTCATTT